AGAGCAAAATCAAGGATTTTTAACTGCAGTTAAAAGTCCTTGCTAGAATTACAACATTGTAATATTGTACTCATATAGAAAATCTAAACATACCGGTTGAAATAGATATCCACGTAGATCCTACAGACCAGTTACCATAAAACGCTTCAACACTCAAATTAGCACTTTGTCCGGCTTCTACACCAATACAATATACAGTCGTCGTTTCAGTAGTCTCAAACTCGTTAGGGAACGGATCTCCTGCTGAACAAAGCACTGTATACACACTAGTTGGTGGCGCATTTGACGTCATCTTGGCGACTATGGTTGTTGTATTCGTTGTAACATCTTCGATCAGTGTTATATTAACAGGATCATCTGTAATACACCATGTTAAACTACAATAAGGCTATAGGCTTTATGTCTACATTGATAATAAAAATGTAATGTGTCGGTATATAGTGCGTCTTCTCTGAGCTCAGGGCAAAAACTCATTCATGCTTGCTATTCACCTATGGATCCCACCATCTCAAATGGAGCCCTGCTCTCCTAAAAAAACAAATACGATAGAATTTGTGTACACTGGGGCTACTGTTTTATAGTCCTAATTCGAAACACTTTCTCCACTACAAGAGCCTAGATCGAGTATACCGTTCAAAACCAGTGCCGATGTTTTGACTATATGGTTACAATGGCACCCCTGCTTAACAACTCGACCCGATTAAATAGTATTTATTGGTATTGTACAAATATCTCTGATAGCTTATACATGAGGTTCATAATGCGCTGACGTTATCATTAACTTCAAGTCCAGGTGCCTGATGGAAATATAAACATCCTCAGCTGTCTAGTCCTTGATTGGTTTATGCAGCGTGTACCGTATTTAACATTACATCTACATTGATCGTATTATACGTCAAATTTATAATGGCCAATTACATTTAGGTCAAATAAAAATAGTTTCTCGAACTAACTTTTTTTCAGATTAAATCTTGTACAACATAGACTAAAAGAAATAAATACGAACATTGAGACTATTAGTAATAATGCTATCTAATGCAAAAAGAAACATAATGCAATGTTTGCTGGACACTGGGACGGCAGCAGAAGACACAGTCAGGAATAAGAAGCTTATTTATTTTTAACTTGGCTTTCAGCATAATAATACCCTACCGTACCTGTTGGAACGACCTCTGATGCTGTTGACCCGTTCGAAGCTTCTGTTGTCCAGTCCGAAGCCTTACTAATTTCACCAGTGGAAGTCGTGACATCATTTTTGATAACTGATACAGTAATGGCTGCTGGCCTTCCAATTTTATCCCCACGTTTAGCTTCGACGGTGATGTTGATTGATTCTAATGTAGTATTTGAGGGTAAACTACAGATTCCAATGCGTAATATATTTTGTAAGATGTCATCTTCAAGCGGTTGACCATCCGAACATGTGATTAGGAAAGAATCGGCAATTCCTGATGTCAAATTCCAAGTAGTCGCAGCGAATGGTGTTTCACTAAGCATTTCTTTATATTTAGTGTAATCGCTTATAGGCTCAAAGACAACCTCTTCCGGTACTGCGAATAAGAGAACGTGTTATTATAATTGGGAAATAGTATACCTATCTATGTATAATGACCATTTATGGTCGGCTGGTACTCATGAGACCTCTAAAATAATGCGATTAGATTTTGTATATGTACAAACAGTACATGAAATATATTATGAAAAGAAATGGACCTGCACTTCAAAACGAACACTGTTGTAACGAAACTTACAAGCAAAATTAGAGTTTTTAATATAAAAAAAAAATTGTTTCATTACTTATGATGACATTAAACCACACAGGCTTTATAGTTGAACAAATTCAAATAACCGTCAGATACACTCTATTACACTATTGGAAACAAATGGTTGCATATAATATAAATCAATATAGCTGACTTTCTAGTATAAATTGATCCATAGGTTTCGATTTGAACATAAATCTCAGAAATAAATTTAATTATAATAAATTTCTAACAAAAGACCTCGGTCAAATAAATCGTTTTTAAGAACAAAGAGCAAATTGGTTTGTGGCCTACCAACACGGACTTCAAATTCGTTTGCTCCCCAGAATGCAAAGACCATTGCAATGAAAGCAACACCCCACCCACCCACACACACTCACACACACCCC